TCAGATTTAACCCTAAATCTCCTCGATTAGTAGTGTCCAGTCTTTTTCTTCTTACTTTTTTTTTCACTTTAGAGACAGGCAACCACGCTAAAACTCCTTCTCCCTAGGAAAAGAAATAAAAACTTTCTCTCAATACTCCATAATTTGGGATAAATAACTGGTTTGTCTTTTTAAAGCCAAAATTGCTGACATCCGTTTCTAAACTTTACTTAAGATATCCTTTAATGCCTATATTCCGATCAGTTCCTCTTATAATATTTTTTTTTCTGTGTGACTAGGGATTGCAATACCGAATACCGGTATTTTGAGCCATTTGTACAATTCTGTAATACCCGTATTCACAAATTTAAATACCGGTTTTTCGGTATTTACTAGAAATCTTTTAAAATTGTCTCCATTGTATGTGTTCAGGGATCGCTAACATAGCAAAATTGCATACGTTTTTGTTTATGTGTGTCTCCCTAACCGGTGAAATTAATTAGACTGGGGATATAAAGTTGCACTGTACAGTCAAAAGAAGTGATAAAATATGAGAATCATTCAAGGAGGTGGGTCAAAACTACCCTATCACAGCTCAGAGCGATACTGCGCACGCGCAGGATTCGTAGTCTGATATTCGTATCTGTGAAAACAAGGTTGTATTCTGAACAAAGTATGTATTACTTCGATATATTTTAAATTGTTGAGTTTGTTATTCACATTGAATTTGCATATTATATGAATTTAGGGCTCAAAATATTTTTCATATTCATTATATATATACTTATAAATAATAATGAATAAGAATGACTTTAAAGAACATAAAAGAATCATTTGATAGTACTTCGGATTGGTAGCATTATTCGTATGATGAAAAGAATATGGTGTGGCGTAGTGTAAATAAGATATTCCTTTTCTTTCTTTTTTTTTCTTTTGTGATTCTTTATATACTGTTATAATTTATAAGTTACAAATTATTTTTGTGATATTTACACTCTGTAGTAAAGCAACTGGCAAATAAAAAAAAAACACTTGTATTTTCTTTCTTTTTCTAAAATTTCTTCTACCGGTATTAAGATCTAAAAAATACCGGTATTGAACTTTTGGTCCGATATTGCAATCGGTAAGTATGACCGTAAGAATTCATTACCTACTGTGGTATAACCATAGTCAAAGCATTTTCAAACCTAGTTTTAGTATCTGAATAAATGTTGACAGTAGATTAAAGCTTCATTTTTCCTGGTAGATTCTTTTAGGATAGTTGAGGAACACTGGGATAATTCACGATGTCTAATATTATACTCCTGTAGTTTAACTTAGGCAAGAAACTCTGAAATTGTGGTCCTTATTTTAACTTCATTAAATTTTGTAAATAAATTTGTTATATAGGTAAATTCTGGTTTCCATTTGATTAAATTTTCTTTTGTGTACAATAATGGTGGCTACTTTATTGTCTTAAATAATATTCAATAAGGTGTAGTGTCAGTAATGTGGCCGGGGAAAATTTATTGATTCATGTAATGTTGTTAAATCCTTTCTCTGCGATGATTCAATGATTAGCAAATTAAGATTTATGTGTGTGGATTTATGCATTAAATCTAGTTATAAAGAGTGTTTTTTTTCCAGGTATAGAAGTTTAAGTTGGCATTACTTTCCAAGATGACGACCGATTTAACAGCTGTCAAGTGATTTATTCTCAGTTTGTTTGGCAATTCATCATGAATAGACTCACGCCTGAACAACGCTTTTAGATTGTGCAATTTTATTTCGAAAATAATGGTTCTGTGCGGAATTTTCATAAGCGAATTTTGTTTAGCGATGAAGCGCACTTCTGGTTGAATGGCTACGTCAACAAACAAAACTGCCACATTTGGAGCAAAGCTAATCCACAAGTGTATGTCGAAACACCGTTACATCCAGAAAAACGGACTGTTTGGTGCGCTTTATGGGCTGGTGGAATCATTGGTCCGTACTTCTTCAAAAACGATGAAGGCCACAACGTTACAGTCAATGGTGATCGGTATAGAGCCATGATTACTAACTTTTTCATTCCTGAATTGAACAATCATGATGTCCAGGAGCTGTGGTTCCAACAAGACGGCGCAACATGTCACACAGCTCGTGCCACAATCGATTTATTGAAAGACACGTTTGGTTGCCGCCTAATTTCACGTTTTGGACCTGTGAATTGGCCTCCAAGATCTTGTGATTTAACACCGCTAGACTATTTTCTGTGGGGCTATGTAAAGTCATTGGTCTATGCGGATAAGCCACAAACGCTTGACCATTTGGAAGACAACATTCGCCGTGTTATTGCCGATATACGGCCACAAATGTTGGAAAAAGTCATCGAAAATTGGACGTCCAGATTGGACTGCATCCGAGCCAGCTGTGGCAGTCCTATGCCAGAAATCATATTTAAAATGTAATGCCACAAGATTATCTTTCGAATAAAAAAAAATTCATGTCAATCGAATAATACATCGTTGTTTTATTGCAATTTAAAGTTCTATACCTCTAAAAAACACCCTTTATATAGAACTGAAATTTTTGCGTCATATGACGTGTAGGTTTTGGAAAATGAAATGCTAGTTGAATGTTATTCTTGATTTTTAATTATATTTCAAACATGCATGAGCTATTCCAGTAGCCTGTTGCGTTACTGCTACGCTCATTGGAGCAAATAAATTCGTTACCAATTCTAAATCTAAAAAAGAGTATATATATATAAAATAATTTTTTTTAATTTATCATATATATGACCTTGTGCTAAGATACAAAGCACTTTCTGCATTGAATTTAATCCTGTTATCTTAAGTATACGTTTTACTGGAAAGACTATATTAATCGTAAAACTCTACAATACAGAAATTATCAGTGATATTGGCGATCTTTGTGGGGAATTCAAGTAGTGTTTGTTATTTCTACACTAAAACAGAAAACTAATAAAATATTGTCTTCATCTTTTTTTTTTCTTTGTAAAATTCGTCAGTGTTTTATGTCTACCGTTGAGCTTTGCATTTTTATTTGTGTGTGAGAAATTATTTATATTGTTTTTGTTTACTATCGGACTTTCTTTTTTCATGCTTTGTCGATCATTCCATTACGTGCTGTTGATTGAGTTAGCCGTTTCATATTTAAATTATAGAAAACTAGTTGTGTAATTAATAGTTCCCTTAGTATCTAGTACCCAGTGTTGCAAAAAAATCAATCATAATTTTGTAAAATCAAAAAGTTTTATAAATTATTATATTAGATTAGAAAAAATGCTACACTTTCTTCTTTCTCTACTCATTCCTATTGTCTTCGAAATTCAGGAAGGCGAGCGATTTTGTAAACTTCGTTGGTCAGCAAAGAATTGTAATAATAAACAGAGAACCTTATATATCCATTTTCATATTTTAATTAGAAGTAACTCTACAATTATGCAAACACACAGAACATAGAATTAACAGAAATCTAAATACTTTTAACTAAACCTAAATTAATTAGTACAGCGAGATCGAAATCATTTTTCCTAGAGCTGCAGAAGCAAAACAACATGCGTAGATCATCATGGGATCAGTTCCACACACATGCGTGTAATGGAGATGTTGTGAAAACAGTGTTGCCAAATACACCTAGACTACACCTTTTTTGTGTATTATTGGTAACCTAGTATGTAGCCCCCTTCCCTTTTTTTTGAGTGGGGAATTTAACGTTTAATAACAACAAAGAATCGGGATAATTCGGATTCAGATCTTAGAACGATATTGATTAATCGTGTCATTACAACTAAGAAAAAAGAAAACAAATTATGAAAAAATTAATAAAGCTGCGTAGGCCCGAGGAAAGATATCTTACAGAAAAAAAACGAGAAAAAAAAGTTTGTTCCGAAGTTTTAAGCTAATCTTTGAAGAATCGATACTCCTCACACTTTTAACATTATAATTGGGTTGGAAATGGTCGTATAAAAAGTGTGTGCGGGTATCAGTAATAATGTCTGATTTCTTCCCAAAACTTTTAATAGAAAAATGTGCATCGATTGATTAAATAGCATTCTTTTCTTTCTCTCTTTTAATTCTGATTAGTTAACCAGAATAGTTTTTACATCCAATTTGCCGGAAAGATTCTTAATTAGTTACAGAAGGACGATGTCATCTTAAAATCGATTTAGATCGATGTTCAAGAACGCAATTTTCGATGTAGTTACTTAATAAGAAACTTCATGGGAACGAGGAAGAAGATGGCTTTTCTTTGTGAACTTGTTGCTGAAAAAAATTCTAAAGTAATGCGTGTAGTGTTGCTAAATCTCTTTTAGTTTGATTCTACGTGATTGGTTAGTTAATTTAAGTGGGATTTTTTTAATTCGTGTTCGTCTAAATGATACTTAATTAAGTATGGTATAGGAAGATGCTGTTTAAAAATGATACTGATTAATTTAAGGGAGTGTAACGTGACTGCTAAGAAGCTTTTTAGGATGGGATAAAATTGATTAAATGTTTCTTTTCCGAACAATCGAGCAGATTTTTTTATTACTTAACTATCCTGTGATTTATTTTAGCATTAAAAAATTATTATTATACGATAGAACATTAAATTTCTAATTACATCAAATACAATTACGTCTTGGTTCATTATACATGTAGTTACGTTAGAGAGAATTATAGATGGAATTACACTGAAAAATTATAGTAATGATTTCTGAAGAAATTTTGGACACTTGGCGCAATGATCTATGTATGCCTAATTTGGCGATTATTGTTTGCGGCAGTGTCTTCAAACTTTGTCTTCTCATGCGGCTTTTTCGGAAACTATGAGGTGTTTCCGGGGAATCTCATCCCCGGAAATATATAATATCTTGAAATATTATTTAAAGTCATTTAACAAATTATAGTTACTTTAAGTAAAGACAATTAAAAAATTAATGTATTTTTATTGATTTTTTTAAATTTAATATTAATCTAATTTACTTATTAATTAGTGCTCCATGTTGCATCTACCATTGCATTATGTTTAATAACTGGAATATGCGTCTCTCAGCCTGTATGGTGGTTGTGCTCCTTGACTTGTAATCAAGTGGCCTCGGGTTTGAATCCCGAATTAGGCATGGATGTACCTTCGGGAAAAGAAGTCGGACTTTCTCCTTCCCGTCTCGAATGGAAAGCAGTGCACCCCTTCTGTTCTATACTGGAATCATCGTTTGTAATAAAAAGTCTGTTTTTCTTTTGTATGTTTCTGTTCTTCCAGCTCTCGTCGTGGCCGAGGTAGCCGAGTGGTATAGGTATCGGATCGTGGATTGCCTTGTCCCGAGTTCGAGCCGAGTACCACTAAAGACCCGCCGTGCAGGGCAGCGATGCAAGTTAAATCTGCCGAGAGCTGAAATGTCCTCCCGTTGGTGTGGTAGCTAGGAGACGGGGGTGCCAGCTCAGGTGTCGTCCACGTCACTTGACCATGGCTCAAAATTACGTAGTCCGTCGCCAAAAGCCCTCGTGTAGCTAAACAGTGCGACGTTAATATTCAATCAATCCAGCTCTCGTCTTTCTATGTATCCCAGGATAAAACACATGACAACAACAATGGAATATGCGTTTGCATTTTTTACCTAAACTATCGAAATCTAGATATATTGAAACTACCTTCAATCACATTTTATATTCTACGTTAATTTATTCCCATGAGGCCAGTGGCTGAGTGGTAGGGTATCGTGCTTCCACGCCACAGTTCCGAAATTCTCTCCTCGGGCTGGGCAAGGTCGACTCAGCCTTCCATCCTTTCAGTGGGATGATATATGAGTACCAAGCTTGCTTGGGGACTAAACACAGGGGATTCGCTTCAGACTGACCACCTGATCGAGACATCTGCTCATGCACCTCAGCGCGCCAATGGTCATGTATACTGAAAAGGGCACAGTAAGCCTTGACCCTCATGGGCTGTTGCGCCACTGAGTTTAGTTTTAATTTGGTTCCATACTTTGTTTTGGTTTTTGCTGCTATATGTATTATGAAATATTTTTAACTTAAACACATTGTTCAGAGTGGCATTAAAATGTTTGTAACTGTGTGAGGAACTTCTGCAAATTTTCAATCTTAATTTAAGGAGCTGTTCATGTTTAAATTTAGACATAAACATCGAATCTGTTGATATGTCGATATGTTGTTCCTTCTCCTTCATTGGCAAGCTTCCTGATTCATCCATTCATGCTGGAAGTACGTGACTTACGATTTTTAAGATCTTATTTTGTCCATAAAATATTTATTTTTAAAAACAAACTGCCTTTTTGAGTATTTGTTCTTTGATGAAAATTAAAATTTTGGATTTTTAATTAAGCAAATAGTGATCACCGTGTAAGTTCCACGGAATATCCTGGTTGAAGACCTCTATTTTCGGTGTGGGGAGAAAAAAACTTAATCTGTTTAGCAGTTTAGAACCAAATACTTCACGAATGCCATCGCACAGTAAACAAACTAAAAAAAATCTAAAAAAGAATAAGCAAATAAAAATCGAACATAAAATTATTTTACCTGTATCTAGTCAAATATTATCTTTACCTATACCTCCCGTAAAAAATAACTCTGATTATTGTCTTCCCAGATAACTTTCGATACCTTGCGAAAAAGAATTTAATTCTTTGTTTCAACTACTAACACACTGTGTAAAAATATATCGAAAGTAATAAAAAAAAAGTGTTCATTTCCAACGATTGAAATGTAAAACAACCTTGGTTAGAATTTTTTCAGCCGCACTTACAAACCTCGTTTGAAAATTCAGAAAGCCAGCAGTTTCTCTAGTAGAGGAGAGAAAAGTGTGTTGAAATGCAATGAAAATGTTACCGTAATAAAATAAAAAACTCAGCTCCGTCGTTGCACTTACGTAATTCAATTTAGTCATATGTAATTATTAATTTTGTATTCAATTTAGTTTTATATGTATTATGAAATATTTTTAACTTAAACACATTGTTCAGAGTGGCATTAAAATGTTTGTAACTGTGTGAGGAACTTCTGCAAATTTTCAATCTTAATTTAAGGAGCTGTTCATGTTTAAATTTAGACATAAACATCGAATCTGTTGATATGTCGATATGTTGTTCCTTCTCCTTCATTGGCAAGCTTCCTGATTCATCCATTCATGCTGGAAGTACGTGACTTACGATTTTTAAGATCTTATTTTGTCCATAAAATATTTATTTTTAAAAACAAACTGCCTTTTTGAGTATTTGTTCTTTGATGAAAATTAAAATTTTGGATTTTTAATTAAGCAAATAGTGATCACCGTGTAAGTTCCACGGAATATCCTGTTGAAGACCTCTATTTTCGGTGTGGGGAGAAAAACTTAATCTGTTTAACAGTTTAGAACCAAATACTTCACGAATGCCATCGCACAGTAAACAAACTAAAAAAAAAATCTAAAAAGAATAAGCAAATAAAAATCGAACATAAAATTATTTTACCTTTATCTAGTCAAATATTATCTTTACCTATACCTCCCGTAAAAAATAACTCTGATTATTGTCTTCCCAGATAACTTTCGATACCTTGCGAAAAAGAATTTAATTCTTTGTTTCAACTACTAACACACTGTGTAAAAATATATCGAAAGTAATAAAAAAAAAGTGTTCATTTCCAACGATTGAAATGTAAAACAACCTTGGTTAGAATTTTTTCAGCCGCACTTACAAACCTCGTTCGAAAATTCAGAAAGCCAGCAGTTTCTCTAGTAGAGGAGAGAAAAGTGTGTTGAAATGCAATGAAAATGTTACCGTAATAAAATAAAAAACTCAGCTCCGTCGTTGCACTTACGTAATTCAATTTAGTCCGAATTTTTCCTTCCCTTTTCCTGAGTATGGAATTAATGAGAAGAAAGCGATAGTGTAAGAGTTGGAGAGGGGTGGAGGTGGGTCACGTGAACTCGACTCTCTTCTTTTCGCACTTTTTTGTATTCTCTCACCCGCGCTCCTTTCTGTAATCTCGACCTTCTCCCGATTCTCAGAATTTTCCAAATCCAATTTGCTATTTGCGCAGCCACTTAGAGAACGAAACGGCAGAAATTGTAATTTCACTTCTTCTCGCCCCCCCTTCTTTTTTTATAGTTATTATTATTATTATTATTTGAAAAGAACAAGACTTCTTCATTTCTTCTTTTTCCCCCTTCTCTCCTTTTCCCATAAACATGCCACGTAGTATTAGCTTGCTATTTTTTTTTTCTTAATCTTTTTTCTTTAAATTTAAAGTTTTTTTTCTTTCCTGCGTTATAGTTGCTTCTGAGGAGAGTTCTGTTGTTTATCCGTTCTGTACCTTTCGTTTTCTTCCATGAACTACCCTTCCAGTTCAGTAAATCGTTATTTTTCTTTTCTATTTCTCCTCTCGTGTCATGAGTTTGCATCACCTAGTTTTATTACATATGACAACTAAACTGTTTTTTCTAGTATTTTTCTTTTTTAATTCAATGTTTATTCATACTTGGACCGCGTTTTGTTTGGATGATTAGAATGGAAAGGAAATGTTTTCCCAACTTTTCATCAATATTTTCGATAGTCATCTTTTATTTGTCTTCTTCAATGGCTGGACATTCCTGGATGGACTTTGGCCTTCTCCAGAAGTTTTCTCCGGGCGTCTTTACTCTTGGCAACTTTTCCCCCAGTTTTTGACCTTTAAAATATTTCGATCTTTTTCGACACAGTCAATCCATCTTAACGGGGGTCGTCTGCCCCGAGGTCTATTTTTCATGGGCTTTGCCAGAAAGATTTTCTTGCAGCAGCGATCTTCATTCGTTCTAGCCAGATGACCAGCCCGTTTAAGTCTCTGTAATTTGACAAATTTTACAATATCAGGTTGTTCGTAAAGTTCTTAGTTAGATCTTCTCCATAATCCATACACTTGTATCCCACCAAGAATGCAGCGTAAGATCTTTCTCTTGAAATTTCCCAAAGCTTCTTTATCATTACGTAAAGTCAATGGCCAAGTCTCTGATGCATAAGTCAAGACAGATCTTATAAGACTTTTGTAAAGAAGCAATTTAGTTCTTAATTTGAAAAAGCTGGATTTTAAATAACTTAAGGGATAGAAGCAGTGGCGCACACAGGAATTTTTCAAGGGGGTGGGGTCCGGGGCTGAAAGTTCACCAATCTTGTATCATGCTCCTTTTGATTTTGTCGATTTTCGGGAACAAAACACAGTAAAAAACTAATTTTTGAATAAATAATTAGCATTAATTAATAAAATTAATCATTAATAACAAGTAAATTTTACGTACTATATACTTAGAATTATAATCAATCTGAAAAAAATCAAGGGCTTTGGGGGAGGGGCCCGGACCCCCAGGACTCCCCCCTTGTGTGCGCCACTGGATAGAAGCATCTATTTCCAGCAATGATTCTTTTATAAATTTCTGGGGCTAGCTTATTTTTATTATTTATCTCAGTTCCCTAATAAGTAATACTGTTAACTTTTCTAAATTGATAATTGCTAGTTTCTGGATGACTAAGTTACATAAGTCAGACTTTAAACAAAATAAATGTTTAGTTTTATTCTCGTTTATATATAAGTTAATTCTTTTAGCACTTTGCTCTTTTATCTGTCTATATACCGTGAAATCCGGCGTATAGCGCGCATTTTTAAAACAAAAAATAGGATCGAAATTCGCGTGTGCGCGTTATACACTGGGTATAAAAATATCTTTTAAAAAAAAAAGAAATGAGCATAAAGAAAATCAAACTTCTACTAATACTTTTTATTTTTAATATATGACTTACTTTATTAATTGTTCCACGTCACAGGCATGAGGTTCAAAACCCCGGGCTTAGCAAGGTCGACTCGTGTGGAAACGCTTTTCATTCCAAAGAACATTTCGAGCAATTTCACAAAAATGTTTAATTTTATTTTTCCTATTTTTTTCAAATTTTTGTAACCCAGACATTTTATAACTTAACTTTTGATATTTTATGCGATCCCAATAAAAGAGAAAATCTACCTTATAATGTTTCCTGGGCTGGTTACGCTGGTTGTACATCTAAATACACCATGTATCCACATGAAATTACAATGGGGTTTTGCCCTATACATAGTATGTATCCACTAGTGATTAAAAACTAAAAATACTTGTGGTTTA